TGCCGCCTGCACTGAGCCGTCCCACAGGATGTGCCTGGAGCCCTCCGGACAATGGCTCCAAGGAGCCTTTTCCACCTGGGCTGCAGCAGCAGCAGCAGGTGCTTCCTGCGTGGCTGTCTCTCCCGGGTGGCAGCCCTTGCTGGGGAGGAGACAAGAGCAGCTGGCAGTGTCGGGATGGTGCACGCAGACAGCATTGTGACTTGAAGGCCGCCTCAACACCAAGGCTCCCTCTAAGCTGTTGGAGTCTGGTGAGCAAAAAATTCTACTTTGTGAGCTGTTGGCATGAAAGTTGTGAGCGAGTGACTTGACTACGGCATAAATTGGTTGGCTCTGGAGCCATCCCTCCTGAGCGAAGATGAAAATGTGTGAGCCGGAGGCTAAAAAACTCTGAGCTAGCTCACACTAACTCAGCTTAGAGGGAACACTGGTCTTGGGGACTCAAAGCACTGGCCTGTTTCGAGCCGAGAGAGAGAGAGAAGCCCCCCAAGGCGCACAGGCCCAATCCACTTGTGCGACCTTGAGCCAGTGTTCCCTCTAAGCTGAGTTAGTGTGAGCTGGCTCACAGGTTTTTAGCCTCCGCCTCACACATTTTTGCCTCAGCTCAGGAAGGACGGGGCTCCAGAGCAAGCTGATTTATGCAGCAGCCCAATGGCTCGCTCACAACTTTAATGCCAGGAGCTCACAAAGGGGAGTTTTTGCTCGCAAGACTCCACAGCTTAGAGGGAGCCTTGCCTTGAGCATATCTCAGCCCCTCCCTGTTGTAGGGGGTGCGAGTGTGAAGTGCAGAGGGGCAGCTTAAAATGCATTTGTGCAGGTGTGACGGTAGTGACACGTGTGTGCGTCAGCCGGTGGAATGGCTCTGTGGGGAGGCTGGTTATGGCCTCCTCTCCAGAGATTTGCTGGAGGTACGTCTGCAGTCACACGCCAGCCAGCATTTCCCCCCTGCAGTGCATGATGCATTGGATTCCAAAACCCAGATCCAGGAATACGAAGCACTAGAAACTCCAGTCCAGACTGGACCCGCACAGCTCGGAAAGGAGGTTTAAGAATGAAAGAATTAAGAATGAGCCTGCTTGAAGTGGGGGGGGGAGAGAAGCCCGGCCCCTCCCCCCCCAGTCCCTTGAGAGCCTCTCCGGCCCTGACCTGCCTTCCCCCCCCCCTTACAGGTGCAGTGAGTGCAAGACGGTCTTCCACAGCAGCTGCCACCTGAGTGCCAGTTTCTGCCCCCGCTGTGTCCGCCGGCAGAAATACCAGCAGGAGTTGCGGGCCTCCCCCTGGCAGTGAGCTCCCGGACTGACCTGGGGGATGTGAGAGGCAGAGACTCCCGAGGCCCCCTGCCCGGCTCAGGCGTCGAGTCTCACCCACCGCTGGTCGTGTGCCCACCTCCCACCCCCGGTGGGCTTTGGCATCACCAGCGGTAGAGAAGAAGGCGCTCTGCGGGCAGACGGGGTGGGGAAGGAGACTTCTTGGTGCTGACCTGCTGCTGCTGCTTCGGGGCCCTGCTCTCCTCTCCTGCCTTTCCAGCTGGCCACAAGGCTGTTCCGCGTGCAGCAAGATGCGGATCTGGAGGGGACGTACGAAGCCAGGCTTCCCCAGGAGACCACCGCGTAGTGCGAGTGGGGATTCAAATCCCAGAGAGAGAGAGAGAGAGAGAGATTGCTTGTTTCAACACACTTTGTAGCACTGTTCCCGTGCCTTCTGCACTTTACAGACTCCCCACGAAAATGCCCGTGTGCCAAAAGGCTGCTGCATCCTTCGGAGACACATTCCATCCTTCCACCTCCTCCACGCAAAGTGACCTTTTTCTAAATTTAAAAAAAAGAAAGAAAAAACAGCCTTCCGCTTCATGGGTTTTTTTAAAGATATGCTAGCTCAGTGCATTCCAGAGATGAATTTTTATTTTCCTTTTACTCTTCTATGCAGCTAATTAAAGTTTATTTAACAAGGAACTAACCCACCCACTGGTCTCCTGTGTCTTTGTAAGGGGGATTTGGATCCCTTGAGGGCTGCCTTGTGTCCTGGTTCTCATGCCTCTGCTCCTTCTGTCCTCTCTTTGAAGGCTGGATCACCGGCATTACCTCCTGGAGACTCTCCATAAATACAGTGTGGCTGACCTGAGTCAGGTAGGAGCTCTGGAAGGAGGTGGGGGCCTCCCCCCGGGGCTGCCCAGCTAGGAGTGGGCCGGACTGAGCCCCCCGGAGAGAACGCCTCGGAGCCCACCTTCCCCCAAGCAGGGTTGGCCCCAAGCCTAGCCATCCCCAGGCGGGTCCCTCCACGCCCTCCCTGACAGAAGGGGGCTTTCAGCAGAGACCAGAAGCAAACCAGACTGGAAAGCAGCCCGCACCCACTCAGAGCAGCTCTTCCGGCGTTCCTTTCCCCTTTCCCAGGAGTTTTGGAAACAGGTTCCGGGGCACCCTTCGGCCCCCGTGGTCTCCCTCGCTCCCTGCCGCGGCCTGTCTCCTTCTCCTTGCCCCTCACGGGCGGCTAACGGCATGTCTCCATTCCTAGATCGCAGACGGCGTGTTTGAGACGTTCCTTCAGTCCCTGATTCAGTTCGCTTCCCACCACGTCTACAACTGTGACCTTTGCACCCAGAGGGGCTTCATCTGCCAAATCTGCAACAGCAACGACATCATCTTCCCCTTTGAGTTCGACACAACGGCCAGGTTGGCATCCTGCGACCACTCCTCCCCTCTCCCTTCGCACGAGCGTTTCCAAGTTACGGGTTTTTGTAAAAAAATGCAGGATGTGAGGGAAAGGAAGGGGCGAGGAGAGAGCCATGTCTCCCTGACGTCTTTCTCATGCCTTGGACTTCAGCATGCCACGGGCAAAATCTAGGGCGGTGATGGCGAACCTTTTAGAGACTGGGTGCCCAAACTGCGACCCAAAACCCACTTATTCATCGCAATGTGCCAACAGGGCAATTTAACCTGAATACTGAGGTTTTACTTTAGAAAAAACAACTCATACATTAAGATGATCCAAACAGTAAGGAAAGCAATCCCAAATGCTTTCATTTACTTAAATTATTTGGCAGAGAATTCGACACTTTAATGATGGTCTGGGCCTAGCTGGGGCGATGGCACGCGTGCCCACTGAGAGGGCTCTGAGTGCCACCTCTGGCACCCGTGCCATAGGTTCGCCACTGATGTAGGGTTATGTGGCAAAGCTTCTCTTAGGAGTGCATCCTTGGCTGGTGCCTCGGGCCACGTGATCCCACGATGCTCCTTCCAGCTCTGTAATGGCCGGAGGGCAGCTTTTCTAGCCCTCGATGATGGGAGGACTGAGTGGTGCGGGGAGGGAGCCGTGCCTTCCACCGGGAAGGGAGGGATGCTGAGAAGCAGGGTCCTCCTCCTCCAAGGGGACAAAGCATCATGGCTAGCCCCTGCCGACTCCAGCGTCTCCCACGACAGAGCTTGCCAGTCGCACAGAGAAATGTGAACATAAGAACATCAGAGACGCCCATGTTGGGTCAGGCCAAAGGCCCACCCAGCCCAACACTCTGTGTCACACAGTGGCCAGAAATACCAGGTGCCATCAGGAGGTCCAGCAGTGGGGCCAGGACACTAGGAGCCCTCCCACTGTTGACCCCCCCCCAAGCACCAAGAAGACAGAGCATCACTTGCCCCAGAGCCCCTATCTATACCTTGTGGCTAAGAGCCACTGATGGCTGGGAGAGCGGCTGATAGATGGCTTTAGGTTTCCTGGAAATATTTCTTTCTGGCATTTCCTATGCAAACGTCTCCAAGGCATCTGACGGGCGTGGCTCATTGAAGCCTGCTGCTGCTCCTGCTCCTGCTCCTGCTGCTGCTGCAGGAAGAGGGCCCGCTTGCCGGGATGACGCCGCTTCCTGCCGCCTGCACTGAGCCGGCCCACAGGATGTGCCTGGAGCCCTCCGGACAATGGCTCCAAGGAGCCTTTCCCACCTGGGCTGCAGCAGCAGCAGCAGGTGCTTCCTGCGTGGCTGTCTCTCCCGGGTGGCAGCCCAGGGCCATTTCCTCTTGCAGACCCCCGTGAGTCTTGGGCAATGTTCCCTCTACGCTGTCGAGTCTTGTGAGCAAAAATTCCACTTTCTGAGCTACTGGCATTAAAGCTGTGAGCGAGCAGTTTGGCTCCTGCATACATTAGTTTCCTCTGGAGCCCTCCTTCCTGAGCTGAGAGAAAAATGTGTGAGCCGGAGGCTAAAAAACTGTGAACTAGCTCACACTAACTCAGCTTAGAGGGAACACTGGTCTTGGGGACTTAAAGCACTGGCCTGTTTTGAGCCGAGAGAGAGAGAGAGAGAAGCCCCTCAAGGCGCACAGGCCCAATCCACGTGTGCGACCTTGAGCCAGTGTTCCCTCTAAGCTGA